TGTTGTTATACATGTTTTTAAATCAATGATAAAGTTTCCCATTAATTCTTCAATAATTTATAAAATAAATAAACCATCCCTTCAAACAGTATCAAAAGCTTTAAAGAAACCTACAAATCATGTATATAGTTTACCATTTTGTTTCAGGTATTTACTAACTACTGTAAAATACTTTATTTTAGCTGGAATTAATTTTCGCTGAAAAGACTTTTTGGGTGTTTTGTATGGAATTTATTTTCACTATTTCTGACGAGTTGAATGTAAAATATAGGAAAAAAGATATATTCGCTGGATTTTATTTTCACGGAATCATTCTTTGAGCGAAAATTAATTCCAAGCGAAAATAAAGTATTTCACAGTATTGTTTTTAGAGTAATTTGATCAGCTGTCTGATAGCCTTTTCACCACTTGAATTTCTCGCCCAAATTGTTCTGGACTATTTACTTGTATCCTTAAATATTTCTGGAGATGAACCCTAATTTTGGAGCCAACAGACAAAATTTGAGTCAATTTTCAGTTTTTACTCAAAAAATTTGACTATTTTTGTCCCAATCTTCTGAAGGAAAGTGCAGACTTTAAACAGAACCATTTTTGAATTTGTGATGGATGAAAAGAGGGAACTGGTGGTGTAAGAGCTAAACCCAGCCTGTATGCATGCATGCACATTTGAAATGTACACTATATATACAGTAAGGTCTGGGTGAAACTTAATATTTAGCTGGCTTCAGGCTGGCTTAATGCTAGCTTAACTTGTATTTAAAGGAAACATCAATCCAAACAACATAATGACCTCTAAAGAAAAAGCTCAGCAAATGTAGGAGAATGCAATTCACAGTTTTTTTATATCACTTTTCATTCTCTAGATATTCAATTTTTCATCAATATTATGTAGTCAGCCATCTTGATTTTCAAGCAAAGGATTATGGGTAAAGCATGACATCATAGAATCTGTTGTCGGAAATTGAGAAAATGATTTCATCTATAACATGAGAAATACTGATGCGAATTAGTTCAAATTTTTGTTGTGCATATTACTCATGTATATAATTATAGTAATGGAAATTAGAATATTAACATTTTAAAATTTACGTGAAACGAGAAACAGAGAATTTTTTTTTCCTGGCCTTATATTAGTAACATAGGTATATACCATACTACAAAGAATACATGCAAATTAAACCTATTGGTGACAATGCTACTCATTTTAAAAATTGCAAGTTTGGGAGTTATTTTATGTCTGAAAAGCATTGTAAATTATTAAATTAAGGTCAAATATACATGTCATTGGAAAAACACTTTGTAGCAAACAGAGTGTACCAGGAGTATATATAGGCTCAAAATAAATACTGTAAAAGGATTAATTATTCACTGGGTTTTTATTTTGCTTAATTCGCTGACTGGAAAATGTGCTAAATTAATTAAAACCCAGTGAATATGTAATATTTAGCATAGAACACATTATCTAAATGATTATATGCCTGAAATGGTAACCGAGCAAAATTTAAACCCAGTGTAATGCATTTTACAGTAGTTGGTAAATCTAAATACATTGCATGGCAGTGCTGTCAAGTACCGGTACATGAAGTTGTTGGTCAAAGCCCAAATAACACTTTAGAAACATGCCCAATTTGGAATAGTGGATTTGCTATTCACTGTGAGACCTAGCATAATGTGCATCATTTTGAACTATGCGCCTCAGACGTGTTTTTTTTCCTTCTAAAGCATTCCAAAATGGGCTTGTACTCGCACTTGTCTCAAATTTCCCCCATTTTAGGTCAGAATTAAAAAAAAAAAAAATCGCCTTGCCACATCATTTTTAAAAGAATTTTTTTTCCTGGCCTAATTTTGAACTTCTTTTTTTTTACTTTTTGGTAGTTCAATGTTGAAATATCAGCATTTAGAATCACTTAGTTTTCTCAAAATTGACCATCATCAAATGTGTAAAGCACAATATCAAGTGTGAACATAGGCCTAAAAAAATTACTTTTTGTTAGTTGAATCCCACAGGAAGTTTTTACATCACCACGACACTATGATCTTGTTTGTCGTGTTTTTATGCTTGATTTTACGAATAAAATGGGATCACAAGGAGGACATAAAATAGTCTATTGTTTGTAAACACATGTTGTGATGATACAGACATTAGATTCAAAAGGGATGTGCATGTACATATACTAGTAGTACGCAAATATCAATTACAATGTATATTATTATACAAATGGCCAAGCTCATATACTGTAGAATACTTTATTTTCGCTTGGAATTTATTTTCGCTATTTTCGCTGAAAGGATGATTCCGTGAAAATAAAATCCAGCGAATATACTTTTTTTCCTATATGTCACATTAAACTCATCAAAAATCAGTGAAAATAAATTCCATACAAAATGCCCAAAAAGCCTTTTCAGCGAAAATTAATTCCAGCGAAAATAAAGTATTCTACAGTATTACATGTCTGTTGTTTCTGACTTTGTATGTGCAAGAAACCATATATTAATGCAACTGCCTTGCTATTAAAATTGTAAGCAATACCCCAGCATATAACATCCACAGGTATACACAAGCACCTACATACCGGTATAAGCCTCAGTTTCCAGCAGTCACACCAACTGTATGGCTTTATGTATTGTTATACACTTAGAAGTTTTACACAGCAATTTGAATTTGTCCCAAGGCATGACATACAGGTACTGGTACCCATGAACGTAATCCCCTTTATTTTGAAAACAACTATGTGTATTTGCAAGGGAATTAAGGTAGCGCTGTATTTTGAACTGTTTTATTTAA